GGGAGTGGCAGAGCTGAGGAAAAGGGAGAGACAGTGCTGAGGGCAATATGATTATAATTCCCAAAGAGTAAAGGCTTTTGATATCAATATATAATATCTACCCTCTGAAATATTTATTTCAGGAGAATTTCCGAGGATGCTTCGTCCCTTCAATTATATTCACTTATCACGAGATGAAATTGGCGAAGGCTTCTATGCTTATTACTGCCTATCAAAAGTCAATGATCTACGATTGAAAAATATTAAAGGTGAAAAGATTAAAGTACCGCTTTTAAGATAGTTGATAGGGACCATTTATGCGACGTGGGTGACGGTGCAGTGCAGTCGCCACCAGGACTCAACCACTCAACGAGCCAGTGTTGCGGCGCGTCGACTCTTGACTCATTGAGCAAGTTCGCTCACTAATCAAGTAGAAGCTTCCGCAACATACTTCGAAAAACATCCGCAATCGTGAGTGGTGTCTAGTGCGTTTAAACATGATCGCGCAGGTGCAGGTCAACCTAGCAACGAAGAAAAAGCAGAGAAACGCGTCGAAAGTGCTCGAGGTGGGCTTCCCAGAGTGGCTTTGAGCGCTGGAGGAGAACATAAGTGAGAGGTCGAGAGATAGTGTTGACGTGGGCGAGAGATCAGAGAAGAAGGATGAGAGACTGGAAAAGCGAGTAAATCGGCAGGGAGTAACGCGTGCGTCTTCAGCAAGATTTTGGTAGGCCGTTACTGGGGGAAGGAAGAGAAGGGGACAGGTGTTGTTGCAACTGACTGTCCCACCGCCATCGCCATTCACACATTCGTCATTCAGTTTTTTTCTTCACTCATTCCTTCAACTAGGTCTCCAGACAGCGTCCCAGACATTGCTCCACTCCAGCGAAAGCCACAAAATAAGCAGAAGGTACCGCATGGGCAGAAGGTATACCACAACGGAATGGGCTGGTGCCGTACTCGCATTCGCCATCCCGATTCTTGTTCTTTCTTCTCGACGATACCCTCGCGCCTTCGCAAAGGCAGCCAGTCGCTGCGAGACGTCAGTTTCGCCTTCCAAGGCGTCCAGTGGTCTACTGCCGTGACCTGAACTTCAGTAAAGCCCATGATGGTGTCCTTCCATATTTTTTTGGTGCTCCTCGTTGTTTACCTTCGAAATCTTCGTTTCGTCCCTTATCGGTGGTCCTTCGAACCATTCTGAGCAAGTACCCCTTCCATCGTAGCTGCACCTTCCGTGCCTTTGATAGGATGGTGGTAGTCTGCATGACCGTCCTCGTATTCTCGCTTTTGACTCTATCTATTCGGGTACAACCGCGAGCCCATATCAGCCTCACGTCAGCAGTGTAGCTGCCCAAGGCGGTTCTTGTCTAAAGGTTCTACTCCGTACAGCATCGCGCATCAGCACCACCATGAACATCTTGCCCTTCGGCGTCCCATATCTCGATCGCAGTGGATGCGAGTGGACTCTCAGCTTACGAATCTCTACCGGCGGCCAAGAAGCAAAACCGAGACTACTAAGGAGGGTTGAGGTACTGCACCGAAATAGGTCATCTGCTGGGAGTTTTCCTTCTGAGCCCTTATCTCGGTAGAGAATGTGGTCTCCTCTCCATGTTGAGTATCACAGGTTTGCACAAGGGGATCTTACTTCTCGCAAGGTTTTAAGCTAGATGTATATTTAAGGATACTTCGTCATGGCCGACGACACCACCTTCAACTTCTGGAACACAATTGATCTATCAGTAGCTTTTCTAGCAGGCAACGGTGCCAATATCTCAGGCGGATGGTGGAACCGTGATGTGGGTCAGTTCGAAAGCTTTTCGCGCATTCATTCTTGACGCTATTTCTTTATACCCGACCGAGGATTAGTTCCAAGTGCTTATTTAGCATTGATTCAGGTTTGAAGGCTGCAAAGAATGTAATAAGTCTATTCGAAGGGAAGTATAAGAACGATACTCAAGCGCAGACAGCGTGGAAACGTTACGGTGAAGAAGTGGGTTTGAAAACATGTTTCCTAGCAGAAAGCCAAAAGGCACACGTCGCGAATTGCAAGCCTTTGTGGCTACTGGGGAGAATTCTACTACAGGGGTTCAGCTACATAGGTACAACTTGGTGAAGAACAGTAGAAAAACCGCTCTCAGTAAAGCCGTTCCTTGAGGCAGTTGGTTTTGTATGTTGGGAGAAGGCGGAGAAAAAAAACAAGGAAGGAGCCAAAAGACAGGGCTGTGGGAACCACTGCACCCTCACAAACTAGCGGCGACCACTATTCGGCCAATCATCTATTTCCCTAGTAGCTAAGCTACCGCGAGATGTGGCGTGAGAGTGCTCCATTAGTGGCCCTTAAGTTATGTTACTAGCTCAACTTTTGCCGATTTAGTCTCAGAAAGGAATGGGCCCTAACTACAACGCTTCTACTGCGCTGACGCTGGAGAACGGCTGGACTGTGAGCGATCTGTGAGTCTTATCAATAATGTTTAGTTACTTCGCCCTCCGTGGAAGTAGCACTCTTGATGAGAAAGATGAATGTTGATTCGAGTGCCTTGGAGATTCGGCTTTTGCCGTCGATCCACCCCTTTCTGGGTGCAGCCAGCATTCTTCTTCCATTTGAACTCTGAGTTAGATATGACCTGTACAACGACCTAGGCGGCCAGCAGATTGATATCAATTCAGCCGTCTAAGGAGGAATAGATGCGGAAACTAGTGATAGAGTGGAAACAGGGGCAGGGATTAACAATGGATAGAAGCGGGAGCCAAGACTAGCGAATTAGGAGCAGCAGCCGCGTAGCGAAATGGCAGAAGGCAGATCCGAGACCATCGAAAGGACCATAGCGGTGCGCAGACCAACAAAACTCGACAAGTTTCAATCCCAGGACCGCGCATGTGATGAGCGACGCATTCTGCCACAAATTCATCTCCTGCTTGGGTGCATCAGTTATTCAGCGCATACAATACGTTTCAGTTGCTTCTGTTACAAGGTAATTCAGCCATGAGCAAAATGCTTTGCCTCTGTCACCGTAAACTAGCAAAAGGGAACCAGTATAAGTGCAAAATGTCTTCTAGTCCGAACACCGCCGCAAAATTATGTTCGATCGTATTCAATAGAATATTCGAAATTGTAGCAAATAATTATACCAAATGAAATTTTGTTCTGACATTTCAGATACTATGTGCCGAGTACGATGATTGACTACCACTCGGCTCTGATGGAAGTTTTCTTTGAAGGGCGACTGTTTCATGAAATTGCAATGAAAAAGTTCTTCTATTCGGTACCAACTGTATAGTGAGTTTAATTGCATCTTGGAGTGTCGGATGGCGCAGCTAGGAGCCTTTGAAGTGATTCTTACCGTGGTGTGTGCTGAGAAATACACGGTTTGGGGCGCTAGCCAACAAGCTAGTGTTTCCTTGTTAGAGGACTCGACATGCTGTGTCACTTTCTAGTTTTGTCAAACAGTTCCTGCAGCCAGGACACGCCACTGCGTTGTTGAAAATTTCTGCAGAATACGACCCCACTCCCTAGAGGAGTCCCGGTTCGACCTCCCAAATGAGAAACGACATGATTTCTAATCGGATGCTTAGATTTTATATGTTCGCGCGCATTCAGAAGTTGCGCTGCTTTGCTGGCAGACTAGAGTTGGAGCATTTCACGATACCATGCAAAACAAGAAAAAACTCCAAAAGAATCCTTTTTGGTAATACATAATTTTTTTGATTGGGACTTGAGAAGCAGAGGGAAATAGGGTTGTCCCTTTGCGTCATATAAGAATATCAAATGACCGCCATATACAGTTTTCATCTATTCTGGTTTGGTAGGCGATGGCGCCAAAAGTGAGTACCTTATGTGTGATTAGGGCATTGACTAACCTCTGTAGGCAAAATTTCAGCAAAAGCTTTTCTTGGTTTTTTTCATACAGTGTACATAAGGTACAAGGGACAGAAAACTGAATGAACGATAATACGGATAAACACGAGCAACAAGAAAGAAATTTGATTGTATCCAAAAAGCTCCGAAAAACGTAAAGGTGTACTGATGGTGTTATTCAAGCGCAGGAAAAAAGTGAAAAAAAGAACAGAGGAAAAAAGAGTGGATAGATAGAAAAGGTAAAAACAAGAATCGAAATGAGATTCATAAT